CGACTTCCAATACTCGGCCCCCACACTAACCAAACCAGCTCTGGACAGAGCTCAAATATGCCAAGTTAAGGGCCAAGAACATGCTGAAATGGAGCCCAAGAGCTTAGACAAGCATGCATACACATTAGCTCACAAACAAAGCATGAAGACACAACTCTCAAACACATTGAAAGAGTGGAAAATGTGAGAGTGTGGCAATGAAATATGCTCTGAAATAACATGTTAAATGATGCCATGTTATCCAAACATCACAAATAAGACATGCTAGAGGGCTCAAAACTCAAAGCTAGTGAGCAAGATTGCACTATGGCTATACAAAGCAAGGCATGGATGACTAAAACCACTTAAAACAGAGCTTAAGCATGGCAAAACATGAGTAAAAGTTTGCTGGAGTGGAGCCAAAAACATACTAAAATGGTGGTCCAAAGCATGATGCATGTTAAGGCTATGGAGAGGATTGCACTACAAGGGTATGAAGCATGCAAGAGGCAATCAAACCAACCAAAAATAGAGTTATATCAGGTCCAAAAACTCACAAAAACATGCTCAAACTAAGCCTTAAGAGTATAGAAATACATGCTCACTTGGATGGCCATCAACACATGCAAACAGGAAACAAAAGGGGGGGGGGGGACCACCCCCATCCATTTTGGGTCTCAAAACCCACTTTCCACCACTAAAATTCCTCTGGAATTCAGTGGTGAAAAGGCCAAATAAGGATGATCTCGAAGGCCTTAAAGGATAGCTCAAAACAAAGCAGAATAAGGCACAAAAGGGGGTAGACAACCTCTAACTCAAACAAGGCCTCAAACAAACATCTTAAGCACTTAAAAACAAAGCTTTTTACAGTTGAAAGTTAAGCCAAAAGAAGCATGCAAATGTGGCTAAATATAAAATCAAAATAAAGCTTTAAAAGGGGAAAGACTCACCCTTGAAGAACCACAGCAAAGCCAGCCACTTCTGAGGCAAAAACCAGCTTTTTGAAGCTCCCTTAAGACCCTCTAGCACCTTAGCAACAAAGTAAGAGTGTTTGGCTAAGAGGTTGTGTGCAAAAGTGTGAAGAAAATGCAATTCTAAGCACTATAAGGCACAACAATATATAGAGAGATATATAGAGAGAGAGTATATATTTTGGCTTGCCCAAAATTTTGAACCTTTTCTAAGGGGGAGGCAACTCCCCTTATATAGAGAACCAAAGCTTCCTTGAGAAGCTAGAAGCTTGCTAGAATCCATCCATACATGTGTATGGAGGATACACTTAGTGATCAACAAATGGCACCAGCTGGAAAGTAAATATCTGCAAAAGCAGAAAAAGGGGTCTCGGCCAACACTCATGGCCGACCGACCATTAAAGAGGCCGACCGGCCATCACTGATGGCCGATGAGAACTTGGCCAGGCCGACAACCACTAGTCTTGGCCGGTGGGTACCAGGGTTAGTCAGCAGGCCACCCTCTTCCCCCAGAAGCAAAGACACAAGCTCTTGATCCATAACCAAGCACAAAACAGACAAGTTGAGAGGCTCCAAGGCAAGGCGCACAGCCGAGACCTTCAGGAACTCAAAACGAACATGAGCATGGATGATCATCGAGTGTTCAAACGATGACGTCCAAGTCTTGAGGACGGTCAAAAATGGGGTGTCTACAGTTGCCCTTCTTTGACAGAACTCGAAAGTCATAAGATGACGGGAGTAAATGTCAAACCCTAGAGACAACCCATTTTTGACAAAGCCGAAGACTTAGACAAACATACAAAGTAACAATACAGAGATGCGCCCGCGGGTTGGGGCAAAATGCAAATGACATGCACAATGCAGAACATAACTTATGATTATGCAAAGAGGGTTGTAAAGAAACATCTAGATGCAAATGTTATGCAAAGAAATGCTACAGCAAACTTGCGCATAAGCAGGTAAACATGAGCCAAACCGCATCTCATGCAGAAAGGATGTAAGAAAATTATGCAATCTTAGTGAACGTGTGATAGATACACGAAGTGAGCATGTGTGATAGATACACAAAGCGAACGTGTGATAGATACACAAAGTGAGCATGTGTGATAGATACACAAAGCGAACGTGTGATAGATACACAATGTGAGCAAAGTGTGATAGATACACAATGTGAGCAAAGTGTGATAGATACACTAAGCGAACGTGTGATAGATACACAAAGTGAGCATGTGTGATAGATACATAATGTGAGCAATGTGTGATAGGTACACAAAGTGAGTATGTGTGATAGATACACAAAGCGAACGTGTGATAGATACACAAAAGTGAGCATGTGTGATAGATACACAATGTGAGCAAAGTGTGATAGATACACAATGTGAGCAAAGTGTGATAGATACACAAAGTGAGCATGTGTGATAGATACACAAAGCGAACGTGTGATAGATACACAAAGTTCGCAATCTTAAACGGAACTTCCCTGAATGAACCGCAGATCCAATATTGTCTGGTTGTGCCAGCCTCAAATGAACTGTACATATAATATCGTGCCTGCATAAGAAAGAAGCTTAACAGATACAACATGATAGGAATGCATGTTCCATGCAAGTTTGACAGCATGCACCATGCTAATGTAAGAAGTGCATATACGATGCAAAGATGACAAATGCATGCTCCATGCAATATCGAGATACATATTCTATACAAGAATAATGAATGCATGTCCGATGCGGGAGTAACCAATGCATGTTCTATGCGAGATATTAAAGTGCATATACAATGCATGTTCCACGCGAAACAAACATGCTAAATGCACAAAATGCGAGAATCGAAACCAAAGCATATTCTATGCGAAATCATTAACAATGTATATTCAATACAACATGCATATTCTATGCAATGGTAGTGATGCACGTTTTCATGTGACAACTCAAAATGCACATTCAATGTAACAACAAAGCAATGTATACCCTATGCGGCGACCGAAGTGCGTAAGATAGAGGCAATTCAACGGTAGCTCCCGATTTACATCTCGAAGAGTTACAACATGTTAAAAAAAAAGGATACACCTTGCACGCGCTGAGCATCGCATATTGAAAACACAGTTCAGAGCTTTCGCGGAGGCCAGTCAAGCTTGGACGTGCACTTCCCTTGCACTCTCTCGATGAATGAGGGCACAAGTCAATAAAATAGACCCCTAGAGGAGCATTGGAGGTCCACCGGCCACTAGGGGAAGCCATCAGCCACCCATCGACCACCAGATAAGATAATCGGCCAATAATGTGGTCGGCCGGCCAACAATTTGGCCGATCGGCCAAACATGGCAGATTCGGGGCAGTTTGGTCTATTTGCGTCGGGTCTTTAAGTATGGGGTTTGAAACCTCATTTCTTCAATTCCTCAAGGCCGAAAAACACATCCCCTCTCATTCTAAACCATTTTCCCCTTCCGATCCGTGCTTTCTGCACATTTTCAAACAACCCACAAACATTCGATTCACGAAACCCTTGAGATTTCAAACACTTTGAACCGATTGAAAAGTGTTTTTGGTGCCTCATTCTTGATTTCCATCTCTTGGGGTTTGTTTCCCCCGAGTTACCCTTGATCTTTGTAACCTGTTCCGCACTTCGACATTTTCTTTCATTTTTCACCCCGCGGAGTTGACTTTTTGTTGACTTTTGGTATTCTCGCCCATTTTTCATATCTTCGACCATTTTCTCATCCTTCTTGAGATGGCAGGTGACATTCCGTATAGTGGGGCTCCTCCAGAGATGGAGATGGATCCCGAGTTCGAGCCATTGCCGCTAGGCGTTCGGCCGTTCGATCCGAAGACGTATGACCCTGAGGTACATGTACTACCCCCCGACGGCATCTGCCAGTTCAGGAGATTCGCGCGAGGTGCACTAGAGGAGCTCCTGCTACGCGAGTCGGAGTTACACTTATCTTACGACGCCTTTGAGGTACACACTCCTTCTTTACTTTTCACAATGTAGATCGATATCTTGGATAGCCAACACTACGCTTCACCTGATTATCCCCAAACACACTTGTACACCGCATGCCTAGTTCATTCTGAGCACATCATACACTATATCTCTGACAATTTGAATTCATACATTCACTGCATTTCTATCAATTCTGAACACATGCATACACTGTATTTCTGACACTGCCTTGCATCTGCTTATTTTGAACATAGGGAGATTCTTATGCTTTCCGGGGCTATGGGAATGCCATCGCTCGAGACTGGTACATGGAGCTACCCGATCATGTTAGCCACATCGTCGACGAGGCTGGTTTTGGCGCATTCTGTATGAGACTCTCGCGCCTCACTGCGAGTCGGTCTCTTCTAGGCGCCTTAGTGGAGAGGTGGTGGGACACTACCGATTCCCTCCACCTTTCTACAGCAGGGGAGATGCTGATGACTCCCTTCGACTTCTCCGTGCTCACTGACATCAGAGTAGGGGGTGATCTGATCTCTTTCGACACTAATATGGGTGAGTGAGATGCTGCTCAGATCTTTTTTCTGGGGACTCGTCCACCTCTCTCCTGATCAGGGATGGTGCGCTATTCATGGTTCACCGAGTAGTTCAGGGGGGAGACGCCGACAACTCGCGAGGAGGTCGAGTACTACGCCGGGGGGTTCTTCATGTTCTTGCTTGGCACTACTCTATTCACCGATCGGGCGAACACCGTTGGCCTCTACCTCTTGAGTGCACTGGTAGACGTATCTCGTATCCGGCGCTATCACTGGGGCGGCGCAGGCTTGGCCACACTGTATGGATTCATGAGTTCCTCATCTCGCCGGAGCGGGCACCTGCTAGGAGGCTACTGGAGAGCCTGCGAGGTACATTCTGCCCTCTTGATTTACATTGTACATTATCTGTACACCGCACACACTACATAACATGCAATCTACTTTACACTAGTTATACACTGCACACACTGCACAAGACACTGCACATTATTCTCTGATTTATGCTTTATTTGTATATTGCTTTACTGATAAACATACTTATCATTACCCTTTTACATTCTGTAGTTTTGGGTATATGCCTACTTCCCGAGGCTTGCCCCAGAGTCGGAGGTAGAGACGCCCCCCATGGTTCCATATTCACATAGGTACGATGTGCGATGCGAGCGGAGGCCGCGAGAGTCTTTCTCATTCTTCTGTCGATATTTTGACACTGTAGCCGCAACAGAGGTATTTCAAACCTTATAGTTCATTTGAGCTTTGCTTTATATTGCACTTTCAATAGCAGATAACAACCTGTATATCCATCATTTACAGATCACTTGGCAGTCTTGGGCAGTGCTGCTTGACGCAGTTAGAGACCAGTTTATGGGCGCTCGGGAGACTTCCCGATTCCGAGTTTTTCTTGAGGGTCCGATCTGTCGAGCGTGGTACTTGGGTGAATGCTTCCTGCGACAGAGCCTTGGTTTATTCGAGCCGGTGGTTCCGATGCCGCCCCCTTCGCACATGAGGCAGATAGAGAGGTACGCCCCGCAAGAGATGGCCGATTTCACTGTAGGTTGGGATGCCGACTTTTTAAGGCTCGACGGCGACTGCACCGTCTTCATTTAGACATATCTCATGCCGCCTCTAGCGAGTAGTCGCCGAGGTGAGAGAGACAGACCTATAGCCGCAGCAGGAGGAGTGGGAGGATCCAGGGCGACCTACGCCCGTGGTAGGAGAGGTTCCCAGAGGAGACAGAGGGCAGAGTGACCAGACCTGCCCACTACCATGATATGACGAGGACAGGCTGGTGAGACTTATCAGATTCCCATCGCTCCTCCCCCAGCTGATCATGAGCTCGTCGGAGTTCGAGGCTCGACCCCGGTATATGCTATACTTTACATTCTGTACATTCATTTCATCTCAGTTGATATCCCGCAGATTACTAATTACCTCAACATTTTTTTGTAGGCTTCCACAGAGTACATTGGGCAGGCTTTGGAGTTGTCGGCTTCGGTGATGGGGATGCTGCAGAGGAGTATGGACCTGCTCAATATTTACGGTATTCTGGTAAGTTCTTTCAACCTCCGTCCCAAAACCCTCTATAATCTGCTCCATACTGATCTGATGCATCACATTATCAATACTGCATTTGATACACCACACTCATATACCACTCACGGCACTGACACACTGCATCTCATATACTGGTCACGACCCTCATACACTGCGATCATTCACCGTTCACGGCGTTCATATACTGCTTGCAGCATTCATACACTATAATCATATACTACATTTGATACCATACTCAGCTTCGCATATCATAACTGATGCATTTGCCAAATTGTTCTTTTCAGGCCCCATTCCAGATACCAACCACAGCGGGCGCCTCAGCAGGACCTTCAGTGCCTCCCCGAGCAACAGGGGGAGCGGGATGTTGGTACACAACCGAGGCAGAGATAGGCGTATTCATACCGAGAGCAGTTCGCGGGAGCCTGCCCCAGATGATGATGAGTCTGACGAGGAGGCAGTGAGTCCGCAGTCAGAGTCGTCTCAGGATGGAGATGAGGCTGGAGATGGTTCGGATTCAGACGCTGGTGGCAGAGTTGACGGCGGTAGTTCTGGACCTTCATCGAGGAAGAGGACGAGGAGGGCTTCCCACTCTTGAGGCGACTAGCGCCGATTCAGATGTTTTGTTTTTGCTTTATTTCTCTTTTTGCTTTAGTTTTTGCACATTGTACAGCCTTAGGCAGTTTTATTTTCTTCAAAACTTGTACCTTTGCAAAAAAGAAACCATGATGGAATGAAAACAACTTTTTGTCTGGAAAAGTGTTACATTTTACATTCTAAGCATCACATTGCATCGCCTCACACAGCATGTAAATGAGATTGAACTTTGTTTGAAAACTACACACTCGAATTGCAATGTCTTAATCAGGTAGTGAACCAACTGACAATTGAAAGAACAAAACAACTCGATAAGCAAAACTAGTACTTGACATGCTAACCAATTGTGAATACAACTCGATAAGCAAGACAAGAACTTAATAATCAACGTAAAATACAACTCGATAAACAAAAATGCAACAACTCGATAAACAAATTGAAGTAACACAAACAAGACTTCACAAAATCGCCACAAAATGCATCCAAAGTGGAACAAGACACAAGTTCTCAACACTTCCAACACATGGACAGCTTAGAGAACCAAGGAGGGGCCATCGGCCAATGTGGGAAGCCATCGGCCATCATAAAGGGCTATCGGCCACAAGAACTAGCCGATTGGCTATAAAGATGGTCGGTCGGCCATCAATTTGGCCGGTCGGCCATTAATGGAGAAGTGCCCAGACTATTGACACCTGTCTTCCACTCAACACCTTATCTTCTACAAAAGCCCCAGCTTCGTAGTTTTTCCATTTCAACTCCATTTTTGCACCAAATGGAAGCATTTCTTGTCCAAAATCTCACAAGTTGGATTGCTAAATTGGATGGCTCGAAAAAGCTAAATTTCTGGGGCTTCGGAATAAATGCACTATTCATGTTGAGCCGCACCTCGCTGCGTTTTCCGTTCCTTCATGCCGCGGCTAGGTGTTGGAATCCGGTTACACACATTTTTAGCTTTGGCGGACAAGAGATATGTCCTACTTTCGAAGACTTCCAAGCTTTGATGGAGTCTCAGCGCGATGAAGAGATCTTGGCTCAATTCCGCTTTGGCCACATGCAAGCCCTAGGACGGATGTGCGGGCTTACTTTGCATGACGCTCGGTCTTTGATTCACGGCGGAGAGTTGGACATTCTTAGCCTGATTCATCGATTTTCTGATGCCGGTGACCGTGGCGACCATCACTCGCAGGGCCTTCGGCGACATGCACTTTGCTTGAGCATGTTGTCTCATTTCTTGCTTGCCCCAGGCTCCGGTGGGTCTAGCGTCTGTTTGATTGAGGTTGCCCAGGGCTTGAAAGAGGGCAAGAGCTGCATCGCCATGACACTAGCTGAGACATTGATGGGTTTGGATGCCTTCCATCGTCAGGAGATGACTAGATTCGCGGGGAGTCCACTACTGCTGTAGGTAATGTTTCCCACCCCATCTCACATATATTTCTCACATCACTCGGCCCTCAGGCTCGGTTCTTCTCTCAAAACCCTTTTCTTTCTTTTCTCTCAACGTACACCTCTCTATTATTTAATCTCTCATTTTTTATCCCTCCCCAGATATGGTTGATGGATAAGTTGAAGGTTATGGACTTATGCCCAGCATATTCAACACGCAGCTATTTCTTCTGGCAATGTCTAGTTGATGCCCTAGATGAGGGATGGTGGTGCGAATGGATGTGCAGTCTGTTCGTCGTTAACATTGCTTGGCACTGCCCTTGGCTTAATCTGCCGACGATGAGTTACAACATGTCTCGCCAGCCGGGCATTCAGCTGATTGGCCTGACACATTGTATCTTTTACTTCTCGTTCCGATTTCGACGCCAGTTCGGGCATGATCAGACTTGCCCGGAAGAAGGGATAGAGTACTCTACTACATTTCCAGTCTGAGGCGCACAACTAGCTCGGTATGCCATAGCATGGAGGACGAGAGAGCTTCTGGCCCCCGCTCCCCCTTTCAGTTACACCCTTTCTGATGAGTGCACAGCTTGGCTTGATGAAGAGGCGTAGGTTAGGCCTACTTTGGTATTAGAGGCTTCCACAAGCTCTGGGAGGGGGCGCAAGAACACCTGACTATGCCCCGAGTTTATTGCTTTATCAGTACTTTCAAGTTTACTTTATGAATGTAATAAAAAATAACTTCAATTTGTATTCAAGAGTAGGAGAACTCTGTACTGAAATCAATGTAATTGAAGGTTATGGGTACTGGAAATATTCCGTTTGGTCCAAAAATGGTCTAAGTTGTAAAAAGATTAATTTGAGCAAAATCAACTTTTATTAAAACTTTTCAAAACCATTTTCGATATGGATCAAAACTGGACACGCTTGAGATCTATCACTGAGATGTACAGCCCTGGATTCCAGCAACTGGAAAGTTGCCCCTAGTTTGAATAGCACTGCACTGAAGATCACAACAGAGCTCTTGAATGTAGAATAGACGAAGATGACCAATCATGATCACATGGACAAAGTTGATTTGGAAGTGTTTATGGCTGGACTTCAGAATGATGTTGCCTACGTATCCTGAAGATGAGAATTAAGCCTTACGTAGTTCGGTACAGGTTCACTCGTGTATTAACCCTCTCCTTTTGCGCTCTAACTTTTGACAAGGCCGTCATTTCTGGGTTTTCAACCTTGCGAGCTTAGTTTTTATTATTTCAAATTTTTCTGTGCTCTAATTTTTGCCTAGGTCGCCTTTTCGGGTTTTCGGCCTAGTGAGCCATTTAGGGATCATATTTCTTCAACTTGTCCATGTTGATCAGTTGGGAGAACTCAAGGCCATATAAATCCATCAGAACGACAGCTCCACCCGACTAGATAGACTTGATGATGTAAGGGCCAGTCCAATTGGGTCTGAACTTGCCCCTAGGGTCGTGGATGGGAGCTCAGCTGTCTTTGAGCACTAGATCCCCCTCTTTCAAATTCCTGGACTTAACCTTCTTGTTGAAAGCCCTAGCAATTCTTCATTGATAATCCTGGACGTGATACAGTGCTTTCAGCCTTCTTTCATCAAAGAGCATGAGTTCTTCGAACCTGCTTTGCTGCCAATCTGCCTCAGTTATCTGACACTCAGCCAATACCCGTAATGACGGAACCTCAACTTCGATAGGTAGAAAAGCCTCCATCCCATAAACCAAGGAATACAAAGTTGCCCCAGTAGAAGTTCGAATTGAAGTCCGATAGCCCCAAAGAGCAAATGGCAGCTTATCTAGCCAGTCCCTGCAGGTTTCCACCATCTTCTGTAGAATGTGCTTGATGTTCTTGTTGGCGGCCTCAACAGCTCTGTTGGTTTGTGGCCGATATGTAGATGACTTATGAAAAGCCACGTTGTACTTCTCCAACAAGTCGATCACCTCCTTCTTGAAGTGGGAACCCTTATCCGAAATAATCTCATTCGAGACTCTGTAACGACAAATGATGTTGTTCCTGATGAACTTAGCGACAGGCGATGCCTTCAACACCGTGTAAGATTGGGCCTCAACCCACTTCGTAAAATAGTCTATCGCTACCAGAATATACTCATACCCGTTGGACCCCTTCGGAGTGACAGCCCCAATTACATCAATCCCCTAGACTGAAAACGGCCACAATGAAGTCATGTTGTATAGCTTTGACGGCGGAATGTTCATGCGGTTTGCATGGATTTGACATTTGTGGCATCACCGGACAAAGCCAATACAATCCTCCTCTATGGTTGACCAATAATAATCCTGTCTGAGGATCTTTCGAGCTAGCATCACCCCGCTCATGTGTGCTCCACACTCTCCTCCATGGATGGCTTCCATCAGGCGCTTGGACTCTTCAGCATCAACACATAGCTTATGTATCTCGAGATGACCCCGCTTGTACAGTTTACCCCCGCAGACGATGAACTGAGCAGCCATTCTTCGAATTGCTCTCTTATCTTTAGCATTTGCCCCTGGTGGATAAGCCTCATTTTCCAAGAAGTTCCAGATGTCGTAATACCAAGGGTTTTGATCTTGTACCTCATCTATGGCAGCAATCAACTCGTAGGCCGGCATGAATTTCTGTTCAATGATGATCAGACGCATCCGGACTCCGAAAGGGATGTCTATCATAGAAGATAGAGTTGCTAATGAATCGGCGAAGTTTAGTTTTTCAAACCGAGGAATCAGAACATCCAAGGTCTGGTGATAGATTCTCATCTTTTCTTCTTTAACTTTCTAATCTCCTTTAGCTTGAGATACAACAAGGTTCGAGTCCCCGATGACATCCAATCCTTTTGCCCCTAGTTCTAGGGAGGCTTCTAATCCAGCAATACATGCCTCATATTTTGCCTCGTTGTTCGACACTTTGAACCGGAGTTTGAATGCTAAGGGTATGCGGGAATTGTCGGGTGCTATTAGCAACACCCCTATCCCATACCCGTACTGGTTTGACGCTCCGTCAAAGTAC